ACCTCCAAGAAGTGACACTGTCTTCTTATTAATTTCACCCCACCCCCAAGAAGTGGGACTGTCTTCACGTTTATGTCATCTCCAAGAAGTGACACTGTCTTCATATTAATTTCACCTCCAAGAAGTGGGACTGTCTTCGCGTTTATGTCACCTCCAAGAAGTGACACTGTCTTCATATTAATTTCACCTCCAGGAAGTGGGACTGTCTTTGAGTTTATGTCACCTCCAAGAAGTGACACTGTCTTCATATTAATTTCACCTCCAAGAAGTGGGACTGTCTTCATATTAATTTCACCTCCAAGAAGTGGGACTGCCTTCGTGTTTATGTCACCTCCAAGAAGTGACACTGTCTTCATATTAATTTCACATCCAAGAATTGGCACTGTCTTTGTGTTTTAATTATGTCACCTCTTCATGGTTATGTCACCTCCAAGAAGTGACACTGTCTTCTTATTAATTTCACCCCACCCCCAAGAAGTGGGACTGTCTTCGCGTTTATGTCACCTCCAAGAAGTGACACTGTCTTCTAATTAATTTCACCTCCAAGAAGTGGGACTGTCTTCGCGTTTATGTCATCTCCAAGAAGTGACACTGTCTTCATATTAATTTCACCTCCAGGAAGTGGGACTGTCTTCGCGTTTATGTCACCTCCAAGAAGTGACACTGTCTTCATATTAATTTCACCTCCAAGAAGTGGGACTGTCTTCATATTAATTTCACCTCCAAGAAGTGGGACTGCCTTCGTGTTTATGTCACCTCCAAGAAGTGACACTGTCTTCATATTAATTTCACCTCCAAGAAGTGGGACTGCTTTCGCGTTTATGTCACCTCCAAGAAGTGACACTGTCTTCTTATTAATTTCACCCCACCCCCAAGAAGTGGGACTGTCTTCACGTTTATGTCATCTCCAAGAAGTGACACTGTCTTCATATTAATTTCACCTCCAAGAAGTGGGACTGTCTTCGCGTTTATGTCACCTCCAAGAAGTGACACTGTCTTCATATTAATTTCACCTCCAGGAAGTGGGACTGTCTTTGAGTTTATGTCACCTCCAAGAAGTGACACTGTCTTCATATTAATTTCACCTCCAAGAAGTGGGACTGTCTTCATATTAATTTCACCTCCAAGAAGTGGGACTGCCTTCGTGTTTATGTCACCTCCAAGAAGTGACACTGTCTTCATATTAATTTCACCTCCAAGAAGTGGGACTGCTTTCGCGTTTATGTCACCTCCAAGAAGTGACACTGTCTTCTTATTAATTTCACCTCCAAGAAGTGGGACTGTCTTCACGTTTATGTCACCTCCAAGAAGTGACACTGTCTTCATATTAATTTCACCTCCTGGAAGTGGGACTGTCTTTGAGTTTATGTCACCTCCAAGAAGTGACACTGTCTTCTTATTAATTTCACCTCCAAGAAGTGGGACTGTCTTCACGTTTATGTCATCTCCAAGAAGTGGCAATGTGTTCATATTAATTTCACCTCCTGGAAGTGGGACTGTCTTCGCGTTTATGTCACCTCCAAGAAGTGACACTGTCTTCTTATTAATTTCACCCCACCCCCAAGAAGTGGGACTGTCTTCGCGTTTATGTCACCTCCAAGAAGTGACACTGTCTTCTTATTAATTTCACCCCACCCACAAGAAGTGGGACTGTCTTCACGTTTATGTCATCTCCAAGAAGTGGCAATGTGTTCATATTAATTTCACCTCCTGGAAGTGGGACTGTCTTCGCGTTTATGTCACCTCCAAGAAGTGACACTGTCTTCTTATTAATTTCACCCCACCCCCAAGAAGTGGGACTGTCTTCGCGTTTATGTCACCTCCAAGAAGTGACACTGTCTTCTAATTAATTTCACCTCCAAGAAGTGGGACTGTCTTCGCGTTTATGTCACCTCCAAGAAGTGACACTGTCTTCTAATTAATTTCACCTCCAAGAAGTGGGACTGCCTTCGTGTTTATGTCACCTCCAAGAAGTGACACTGTCTTCATATTAATTTCACATCCAAGAATTGGCACTGTCTTTGTGTTTTAATTATGTCACCTCTTCATGGTTATGTCACCTCCAAGAAGTGACACTGTCTTCTTATTAATTTCACCCCACCCCCAAGAAGTGGGACTGTCTTCGCGTTTATGTCACCTCCAAGAAGTGACACTGTCTTCTAATTAATTTCACCTCCAAGAAGTGGGACTGTCTTCGCGTTTATGTCACCTCCAAGAAGTGACACTGTCTTCATATTAATTTCACCTCCAGGAGGTGGGACTGTCTTCGCGTTTATGTCACCTCCAAGAAGTGACACTGTCTTCATATTAATTTCACCTCCAAGAAGTGGGACTGTCTTCATATTAATTTCACCTCCAAGAAGTGGGACTGCTTTCGCGTTTATGTCACCTCCAAGAAGTGACACTGTCTTCTTATTAATTTCACCCCACCCCCAAGAAGTGGGACTGTCTTCACGTTTATGTCATCTCCAAGAAGTGACACTGTCTTCATATTAATTTCACCTCCAAGAAGTGGGACTGTCTTCGCGTTTATGTCACCTCCAAGAAGTGACACTGTCTTCATATTAATTTCACCTCCAGGAAGTGGGACTGTCTTTGAGTTTATGTCACCTCCAAGAAGTGACACTGTCTTCATATTAATTTCACCTCCAAGAAGTGGGACTGCCTTCGTGTTTATGTCACCTCCAAGAAGTGACACTGTCTTCATATTAATTTCACCTCCAAGAAGTGGGACTGCTTTCGCGTTTATGTCACCTCCAAGAAGTGACACTGTCTTCTTATTAATTTCACCTCCAAGAAGTGGGACTGTCTTCACGTTTATGTCACCTCCAAGAAGTGACACTGTCTTCATATTAATTTCACCTCCTGGAAGTGGGACTGTCTTTGAGTTTATGTCACCTCCAAGAAGTGACACTGTCTTCTTATTAATTTCACCTCCAAGAAGTGGGACTGTCTTCACGTTTATGTCATCTCCAAGAAGTGGCAATGTGTTCATATTATTTTCACCTCCTGGAAGTGGGACTGTCTTCGCGTTTATGTCACCTCCAAGAAGTGACACTGTCTTCTTATTAATTTCACCCCACCCCCAAGAAGTGGGACTGTCTTCGCGTTTATGTCACCTCCAAGAAGTGACACTGTCTTCTTATTAATTTCACCCCACCCCCAAGAAGTGGGACTGTCTTCACGTTTATGTCATCTCCAAGAAGTGGCAATGTGTTCATATTAATTTCACCTCCTGGAAGTGGGACTGTCTTCGCGTTTATGTCACCTCCAAGAAGTGACACTGTCTTCTTATTAATTTCACCCCACCCCCAAGAAGTGGGACTGTCTTCGCGTTTATGTCACCTCCAAGAAGTGACACTGTCTTCTAATTAATTTCACCTCCAAGAAGTGGGACTGTCTTCGCGTTTATGTCACCTCCAAGAAGTGACACTGTCTTCTAATTAATTTCACCTCCAAGAAGTGGGACTGTCTTCGCGTTTATGTCACCTCCAAGAAGTGACACTGTCTTCTAATCAATTTCACCTCCAAGAAGTGGGACTGTCTTCGCGTTTATGTCACCTCCAAGAAGTGACACTGTCTTCTAATTAATTTCACCTCCAAGAAGTGGGACTGCCTTCGTGTTTATGTCACCTCCAAGAAGTGACACTGTCTTCATATTAATTTCACCTCCAAGAAGTGGGACTGTCTTCATATTAATTTCACCTCCAAGAAGTGGGACTGCCTTCGTGTTTATGTCACCTCCAAGAAGTGACACTGTCTTCATATTAATTTCACCTCCAAGAAGTGGGACTGCTTTCGCGTTTATGTCACCTCCAAGAAGTGACACTGTCTTCTTATTAATTTCACCTCCAAGAAGTGGGACTGTCTTCACGTTTATGTCATCTCCAAGAAGTGGCAATGTGTTCATATTAATTTCACCTCCTGGAAGTGGGACTGTCTTCGCGTTTATGTCACCTCCAAGAAGTGACACTGTCTTCATGTTTATGTCACCTCAAAAAGTGCCATTTTCTTCATGTTTATGTCAGCTGCAAGAAGTAGCACACGTGACAAGTTCAAAGACACTGGATGAATCCAGTCTAGTATGATGTCTATACCAAGCTATATAACAGTAAACTTGCTCTAGGGCTGCTATATGGAGCGGGTGTTTGGGGCACCAAACCCTACAATGGTCTTATTAAGGTCAGGGTGCACTTTGATGAAATTTCATGGCCATGTGCTATTTTCAGATAAACATAACTCATTCCACATATCATCTATATCTTTCATTCTTGCACAAAAGATGCATTAGTGTATTTAGATTATTAATTGAGGGTTGATAATTCTTCAGAATGTTTGAATAACTAGAATGGTTTACTTTTCAAATTGCAAAAAAATCCAACATGCACCCTGGCCTTAACATCATTCTGAACAGAGCCTGTCGTTTCTTCCTAGGAGTTAAAACAACAACACCAACTCTAGCTACCCCATTACCCGTGGAGATATGGGATGGCCCCGGGGGATGGCTTTCTATGGAATTACGAAAAGATATTGAAACCGTAAGGCTATGGCAGAGACTAGGTAAAACGACCAATTCAAGGATAAAGAATATTCAACTGGTCGAATAAACAAACTGTACCCATACTATGAAAAATTGGACATTTTATGTCAAAAATCAATATTAACAAAGTATAGATTTTTTATCAACGTCAAAAAACTTTAAAAAACAAGTCCCAAAATTTGATGCAGAAAAATTGACACAAGAACTAAGTAAAGTAGAACCAAATGATAAACTGGTATAAGAACTTACAAAAGTGAAAACAACCAAAAATTAGTTAACGAGGCGTATAGCCTTTTTATTTTTTCGTTAAGCCATCCAGTAAAAATACGATTTCTCTGCCAACGTTCACCCAAAGTTTGACTTAATTCATGACTCCTTTCCATCGGCCTGCACTCAGCCGATTGAGTATTTTGTTTCAAAATTGTATAAAGTGCGTGGTTACCTATAAAGAGAAATTATCTCTGTGCATTTCTCTTAAGGTTTTCTGTTAATAAATAAATGCCTGTAGTTTAAAAGTATTGAAAACATTGTATTGAAGTATTGAGTTTTGCAACAGGACATTAACCTTAACTTTAGAAATTTTTGGTTGATATATAAAGATCAAAAGATTCTGTTCAGTGTACAACTTTTCAATATCTTTCCAACCACATAGTATTTGTTTACAGTTTATTCCTACCCTGTCTGTTGTTAGAATCAGTTTACTTATTCCTATCTTGAATTGCGTCTCTTTTTGATCAAGATGATAGCCAAATATATAGCTGCATTGAGAAAGTATGCTACACTCATCCCATGCTGTACATCGTCGAATACTTCACGAATTCCATAAATTAAACCTGGAATAGAAACGTTACTTTTGTAGAAGAATAGTACAATAACGTCATCTCGAAGGGCAATATAGTGAACTATTGGACCAAGGGCCAATATTTCACTATATTGCCCGCAGAAATGAAACCGTCACTTAAAATGGAATATTTCTTCTGATAGAAGCTTATCCACATTCATGAATGCGATTTACTTTTTGAATAAAAATATCCTGTTTATCTGAATTATCTCATTTGGCCCATGAAAATTAATTATCTGTTAAACTTTTAAGAAAGGGCCTAAGGCGAACCATGGTTCTTACCAAAATAAGTTCATACCAAACATGATTCCTACTCAAGGAGTCTCTTACCAAATATGGCTCTTACCAAATATAGGTGGAATGACTAGTACTGGGATACCCACCCATGCCAGTGTCTGGTTGAAGGCTAACTTGTTTGAGAGATGTTGAAGGACCTCGCACGTGCAGGAATATAAATAGACCGTTGTCAATGCAAGCAGCCCTCCATTTACTTAAAAACATGAATAGTTTATTAATATGAATACATTCCTGACAGGTCAAAATAAACAAAACTCAACTAAGCACTAATAAATCGCTTAAAGAGTTTTAACGAAAAATCTGCGTGTCGTAGAAAATCGCGTTTTTATAAAAAGGGAGATAATAATAAAATTTGGGATTGTTTAGAAAAAATTGGGAGTTTGACTACGAATTCGGGGTATGTACATACTTATTGCTAACACCATTATAGCTGTATAGTTGACATCAATGAATTGCCATGCCAGATTTAGGAGGCTCATTCCCAGTGTTGCAGCGAGATGGGTGTATATAAGTCGTCCTTTGCAGCAATCCCCTACAGCAGCTGCGATGATGTAGGTTATTCCTTCAGCAATACTTAACACCATCAAAATATAAGAAGCATCCATTCTTGATATTCCTTTGTTGTCCAAGTAAATTGCCTATAATAATTTATTGCAGATATTGCAGTACAGGGTTGACCAAAAAACTCTACTTTTGGAATAACTTTCTCAAATATGAAAGAACCTTTGTGATTTTTGTGTAGAGTGTTCCAGTTCAGATAATAGTGGTGTACTTATATTGAATCTATATATTGCATGGTCATGATAGTCAGTTGTATTGACATTAAAAGAGCACACATTAAATGTCGTTGATATTAACACACATGACACAGGCGTTGGTAGGATAACAGAATTTGACTATATTTGGATATATCAATTATCGTAATTAAGACCTTATACCTTATATTCGATGATTAATAATATGCTGCTAGGCCTATATGTATGCCTATATGTTAATATCCTGTCGAATAAAGTTCGGGTAGGGATATAGAGAAACGTCCATTGACTGGTGAATTATGTGATACATATGACTAACCATATCAATGTGATCAATTATTTGATAAACATTATTCAATAACTTACCATATTAATGTGATAAACTATGTGAAACGTTGTAATATTTTAATTTTAATGTGATAAATTATGTAATACACATACTATTAAGTGACTAACCATGTACATGTGATCAATTATGTGATACACATTATTTAATGACTTACTATATATGATAAATTATGTGATACGTATTATTCAACGACTTACCAAATAACTGTGATAAATTATGCAATATATTATTAAATGACTATAACCATATTGATGTGATATATTTTGTGATACATATTATTTAATGACTCGCCATATTAATGTGATACTTTATGTGATACGTATTATTTAATGACTTACCATATTAATGTGATACTTTATGTGATACGTATTATTTAATGACTTACCATATAAATGTGATACCTTATGCAATACATATTATTTAATGACTTGCCATATTAATGTGATAAATTGTGAAATAAACATTATTTAATGACTTGCCATATTAATGTGATACATTGTGTGAAATGTAATATTTAGTGACTTGCAATATTAATTTGATACATTGTGTGAAATGTAATATTTAATGACTCACCATATTAATGAAATACATCATGTGAAACGTATTATTTGATGACTTACCATATTAATGTGATAACTAATGTGAAACGTATTATTTAATGACTTACCATATTAATGTGATAAATTATGTGATACGTATTATTTAATGACACACGATGTTAATCTGATAAATTATGTGATACGTATTATTTAATGATTATAACCATATTAATGAAATACATCATGTGAAACGTACTATTTGATGACTTACAGTATTAATGTGATAACTTATGTGATACGTATTATTTAATGACTTACCATATTAATGTGATACATTATGTGATACGTATTATTTAATGACTTACCATATTAATGTGATACATTATGTGATACGTATTATTTAATGACACACGATGTTAATCTGATAAATTATGTGATACGTATTATTTAATGATTATAACCATATTAATGAAATACATCATGTGAAACGTACTATTTGATGACTTACAATATTAATGTGATAACTTATGTGATACGTATTATTTAATGACTTACCATATTAATGTGATACATTATGTGATACGTATTATTTAATGACTTACCATATTAATGTGATACATTATGTGATACGTATTATTTGATGACTTACCATATTAATGTGATAACTAATGTGAAACGTATTATTTAATGACTTACCATATTAATGTGATAACTAATGTGATACGTATTATTTAATGACACACGATGTTAATCTGATAAATTATGTGATACGTATTATTTAATGATTATAACCATATTAATGAAATACATCATGTGAAACGTATTATTTGATGACTTACCATATTAATGTGATAACTAATGTGAAACGTATTATTTAATGACTTACCATATTAATGTGATAACTAATGTGAAACGTATTATTTAATGACACACGATGTTAATCTGATACATTATGTGATACGTATTATTTAATGACTTACCACATTAATGTGATAAATTATGTGATGTGTACTATTCAATGAGTCACTATATCAATGTTATACATTATGTGTACTCACCATGTTAATGTGATAAAGTATGTGATATGTTTTATGTAATGTCTCGCCATATTAATGTTATACATTATGTGTATACATTATTCAATGACTCACCATATTAATGTTATACATTATGTGTATACATTATTTAATGACTCATCATGTTAATGTGATAAAGTATGTGATATGTTTTATTTAATGTCTCGCCATATTAATGTTATACATTATGTGAAACGTATTATTTAATGACCTAACACATTAATGTAATAAATTATGTAATGCGTACAATTCAATGACTCACCATATTAATGTTATACATTATGTGTATACATTATTTAATGACCCATCATGTTAATGTGATAACGTTTGTGATACATGTTATTTAAGGACTTGCCATATTAATGTAATACATTATGTGATATGTATTATTCAATGACTTGCCATATTAATGTGATACCTTATGTAATACATATTATTTAATGACTTGCCATATTAATGCAATACATTATGTGTATACATTGTTTAATGACTCATCATGTTAATGTGATAACGTATGTGATACATGCTATTTAATGACTCGCCATATTAATGTGATAACTTATGTGAAACGTATTATTTAATGACCCACCACATTAATGTAATAAATTATAGTATAGTAGGAACAAGGGGTTCCCATGCACCCATAAGGTGTGAATAAGTTACATACATTTTTGTAATCCCTAGGGTGTCTATTTAATGAATTAATTTGTTAACATTGCCAACTAATGTCCCATAGTACGTTTATGGCGGCATTCAGTTACCATGGTTACGCATCTTTAGACATCTTACCTTGGTATCTTAAATCATTTGTAGCTCTGTCATTATTTGGTCTATAGAAATGATATTGGTACCAAATTAAGCCTCCAATAAATTCCTGATATTCAATTATGCAAATTATCTAATTTGCATAAATTATGACGTCATCAATCTATTTTTGGTTCAGAATTTCCAACTATAGCAACTTATCTATTAGGACTGAGGCCGTATGGCAAAATTTCTGAAAGGTTTTGTCCTTTATTCTATTAGTAGAAGGTATAAGCAACATAAAAGTGAAAACATATTCAAAATTGAATCAGTATTACGAAAGTTATGTAACTTTCGAGGCAGCTATCGTGAATGTCATTATTTGACAATAATATACATACGTCTTACCTTTGAGTCTTGAATCAATGTAGCTTCGCCATTATTTGGTCTATAGAGATGATATTGGTATCTGATTAAACCTTATTAAATTTACTATATGGTTACAATATTCAGTTATGCAAATTAGCTAATTTGCATTAATTGTGACGTCATCAATCCATTTTTTGTTCAGAATATCGTAGTATAGCAACATATCTATTAGAACTGAGGCCGTATGACAGAATGTGTGCATAGTTTTGTCCCTTATTTGATGAGTGGAAGATATAAGCAATATTAAAGAGACAACGAATCTTCAAAATTGGATCAGAATTAACAAAATTATCCAGCTTTGGAGGCAGCTACTGTGAACGTCATTGTTTGACAATTATAAAAAGAACATTAAATTAACAAAAAAGTAACAACCATAGTTGTTTCAATCTTATTGAGTAAAAATGTGCATGTATTGAACTGAACTAATAAGTATGTGGAAAGGTTACATGCATTTTGACTATAATTCACAGGGGTCAAAACGGTTATCTCGACCCTGTATATTAAAGATCCAACCTATAATTTACCATGCACTTTCAATGATTCATATAAATAGTATACATATAGTCTGATTTTCATCATATTCTTCATATTCTTGATTCTTAAAGCATCTGAAGTATATAGCATGATTAGAAGTGAAGATGATTCATCATATGGTTTATGTAATATTTCTAACATTTCAGATGCTATGGTAACATCACTTGATAATGAGGTTTTTACATTTCACGTTTTTAATGAGTTAAAAGGAAGTTATTCTCCCTTTGCTTTAGAGATAAATAGTCGCATGAATTTGTTTAGAAAAATTATAACTTAATTAATTTAACCCCCCCCCTGACAGCCCCCATATTTGAAGATTTTGGTGAAACCTGGTAAAATACATTAATTATTAGGTTCCAGAAGCCCCCAGAAGCTATATGATGGCCCCCGGTGGCCCCAAGAATCTATACAGGGGCCCAAAGTGGCCCCCAGAAGCTATACTGTGCTCCCCAGAAGCTATATGTTGGCCCCCAGAAGCTGAATAGTGGCCCCCAGGAGCTAATTAGTGGCTCCCAGAAGCTATACAGGAAACCCTGTGGCCCCCAGGAGCTATACGGTTGCGCCCAGAAGCTATACAGGGGCCCCCAGTGGCCCCAAAAAGCTATACGGTGGCCCCCAGAAGTTACACGGGGGCCCCCAGAAGCTATATTATGGCCCCCAGAAGCTATACAAGGGCCCCCAGAAACTATACTATGGTCTCCAGAAGCTATATGGTGGCCCCCAGTGGCCCTCGGAAGCTATATGATGGCCTCCAGCAGCTAATTAGTGGCCCCCAGGAGCTATACGGTGGCTCCCAGAAGCTATACAGAGGACCCCAGTGGCCCCAAGAAGCTAAACGATGGCCCCCAGAAGCTATACAGGAGCCCCAAAAAGCTACATGATGGCCCCAAGAATCTATATGATGGCCCCCAATGGCTCCCAGAAGATGTGAAGGGCCCCCAGTAGCCCCTAGAAGCTAGAAAAGTCGTGTTTAAAAAATAACATTCTAGATTATAACATATCTGATAAAGAAATAAATACAAGTCTAAATAAGTTGAAGAATGGAAAATCACCAGGGCCAGACTTGATCTTAAATGAAATGCTTAAATACGGCAGATATTATTTTTTACCGATTCTCTCAAAAATATTCAATTCTTGTCTAAAAACAGGCTACTTCCCTCAACAATGGAATGTTGGCCTCCTGAAACCAATCTTCAAGAAAGGTCAAAAAGA